CAATAATTGTATTGGCAATGTGGCCTCTTTCTGCACACATACAAACCAACCCCTGCCACCATCTTCTGCCACAGCTCCATTGGTTCAATTGTCTATGTCATGGACTTTCATGTGGAAGATCAGGGTTCAAAACCCAGCTAATGCAACTTTAACAAAAAATCTCTTCAAATTTCATATTGTTACAAAATTACCTTAATTACAAACACCTGCTGATGTGACAGGCATAAGCTGGTATTGAAAACACATTTGAACTTGGTCAAAGTTCATTCTGCAAGTCCAATGCTGCAGGCAAAGCCATGCTGCAATGACATGCTACGTGGCAATGCACACTTGTTTTTACATCGTAAAAACCCATGTCTAGTTTTCTTTGTTTTTACTCCTCACCTTTTCTGTCCAACATCAATTCAACAGTTAAGAAAAGTCTTACTACCCAACCCGCCAGCATTTTCTCCAACAGTAACCAACATTTTACATTTTTAGGATGGATTATACGACATACCTACATTTCTTATTTTTCCAAGCATTTACCAGAGGCCTATTTCACAAAAGTCAGATTTCTAAATTCAGGATATGAGCTGTAAGCCGAGGTTGAACTAGCCTTCAACTGTCATCAGTTTATCAGATAATCTGATAAATAAATTAAATAAATAATATTTACTCTGTAATATTTTAATGCTAAGAAAAAACAAGAATAAATTTAAAAAGTGCATGAAGAAGAACTGATTTCTGATCAGACACTACAAAAATGTGGCTTCTAAAATAAGTTAAAAATACTAGATTAGACCATTATTCTTTTCAAATTAATAATAATTAATAATCTGCAGTTTGACAGTTTCACTTGGTTAGATTTCTTGAAGTAAAAAAAAAACTTATCAGATTAACAAGTTTAATAATCCAACATATTCTCATCTTGTTTAGTATATGGGTCTAAAAACAAGATCAAAAATACTTTTTGGCTGATGTAAGACTGTAAAACTTGGTTAGAGGAAGAGTTTTCTGCAGTTAAATGACTCTACTGCTCAGAAACATTAACAGATTAAATAAGCTTCACTTTAAACCTGATCAGGTTAGTTTCAGAGCACTTGTTACCACTGAAGCATAAGTGCTTTGTAAATGCAACCGATTCAAGGTTTAATTAAATCAGGTCCACACCTAAATCCCGRGTTAATCCCTTATCCTAGTTTCATGCAATAGGCCTCTGGTCCACTACAATTTGGCTAAGAAGAATTACAACATATGATTTAACAAAAACATCCATAATGTGACAAGAGGAGACTTAAACCCTGCATGTCATTTTCAGCTGTTATGATTAAATGTATATATATAGTGTGTGTGTGTGTGTGTGTGTGTGTGTGTGTGTGT